AACGTCTGCGTCCTGCGTCAACCGTTCAACCGAGACCGAGCGCCAGACGGGCTCGACCACTGACTGAAGAAGCGCAAAGAAGAGGCAGCCAAAAGTCAGCATTTTCCAAATCAACAAAGTCTTCTTCACTCAATCCTATCACGCACTTTCACACTCAAATCACACCTCGCGAGGCTGGCAGAACAGCTCTCATTTTTTAATAAAAGTCTTTCCTACAATCAAGTGAATAGATCGCACACTTCCAGACAAGCTCATAAAAGCTTTCCTTTCAAAAGCATTTCCCCTTCAGATCGGACTGTTGTTGCGAACCCAAATTGTGAGTATCGTGACGGCCACGAGCGCCAACAACTTTCAGGACAAACCATACCTTTCGCGTCCATATTTCAATGTGGGATTGTAGATAAACGGGAATTCACCAATAAACTAAGTGACACTACTTATAATTCATGAGTAGGTTCGGAAACGATTTTTTTATTTTAATTTTTCTTTTTTGCCTATGGCTTACTATGGGCATAATTTTGCAGCGGTAAAAATTGTGTGTTTTGCTACTATTTGTTTCCTGGCTGTTAGATTCTAGGAACTCTGCCACACCTGTCGGTTCTCTGTTACATTTTTACATGCTTACATACACTTGTATATATATATATATATATATATGAGAAAAAATGTAGAGTTTATATGAATCTCTTTGCCCACAATTGATGGCCCACTTGCATTTCCAGTCAAAGTGTGTGATGAACAGATTCACAGGTTGATTGCACTATAAGATGACAACGAATTATTCTCGGCCAACTGTTGGTTGACTTCATTGGAACACTTTTGATGTCGCTTTTTCAGATTGCGTTGAAATAGTGCCATCACATGATTGCACTTATCAGGCTAACGAGACACGAAACTCACCGACTTGTCCCTACCTGTTTTCTATACACCCTAAACAACACACGCACACACCACTTGGTTAGCATGTGGATCTTGCTAGTTGAAGCTCTTTATACCTCTTAAAATGTATAGGTTTAGGGTATATATATATATATTTATTTATTTATATATATTTTTAAATATATTCGGTTATTAGAGATGAACTGATGAGTTTACGTGACTCTTTAGCTGGAATATGATTGTAAGAATGGCACTGCCCTAATGCTGTCCGTTATGTGACGGACGAAAACCTAGCTCGTTAAAAAAAGGATTAAAAAAGATTTTTCTCTAATAAACATACTTCGAGACTAAATGCCAGGAGATCTGATATAAAAAATATATTCACCGTATTTCGTTAAAGATGATGAAAAACTAGTGTTCGAATGCTCTCATAATTTTATATAGAACATATATTGGTAGCCTCGTAGATCTACTTATGAACGAATAATAAGTAATATAGTCAATTGCCATAGCAAATACAACTTGGCTGCTTCGACAATCTGACCACATAAATTTGGCATTGGATATGCCTTGGCTTCCTTGCACTCGTTCGAATGATCAGTTGCACCACCACAAGCCCGGTTCGAGTTCGGCTGGGAATCCGCGAGTGGTCTTCTTTTGGTGAGATCCACCTTCAACTCCATCTATCACACGTGCACACACTTTAACGCGAAATGGAAGTGAATTTGAGGTTCTTACTCTGTATTCACGCTTTTGTGACAGTTACTCCGTCGCATATGATTTGGTAGATGCATATTTTTAAAGCGTTTCTTAAAATATTTCTGTTTTGCTATTCTTGCGACTACCAGAGCCTCGTCTCCGTTTGTTTGGTGCTTTGATACATTCTTCTGCATAAATGGCCTATTTTTTGTTAACACCCCAATAATTATTTGTTTCATAATTTTCGTCTTTATTTATGGCTTATGTGCTGCAGGTTTAGCTGATATTAACTAGTCAGTGGCCTTGTATTTTGGTAATAATACAGTTTGGGTTTGATTTTATTGCTTCTGAGCGACTCTTAGTTAGCTTTGATGCAACTTTTATGCCACGTGATAGTTAAATGCAGTAGCCAAGGACTGTATCCGTTTATATTTTTCCTTAAGAGGGTCTGAAAGTCGTGTTTATTCTCTATTTTATTTGGTTTATTTGGGTTGCCTTTTTTGAGAATATTATATTTTTGCACATTTTTTTCTATAAGAATTGCTTTCACCCTAGTTCGTTTAAGCTGATAAGGGAGTGTTAGTTGAAATTTCACACAATCATGTGAGTAGGCCTTATGTTTTAATTCAATTTCACACAAACTTGCTTCCAAGATAGTCATCTCATCAGCAATTGCAGCGCGGCTCGAACCTATGAAATTCATATCTGTCCAGTGACCATTGTGGAATTTAATAGAAATATGAGGCTTAGTTTTTTAGTTGTAGCAGCATTCAACTCCCAGTTCTGTATTATCTTAAAAAATAGATTGAATACAACTCTTAGGCATACCCATAAACGGAAAACAATGTTTTCCAGTTTATGTTGAATCAGTGTATAATTAATGTTGCAAGTGAATGATAGTGGCTGAGTTATTATTTTAATTTTTGGTTGTCATTTTAGGCCAGCCTCCCTTTGCCATTTCTCTGTTTCTCGCGTCCAGGAGCCACGCATCATTCGCTTTTCTCGGTACATTTTCAGGCAGATTGCAAGTACTTCCTCTCTCGAGTCGTCACATACTCATTTCATTAGTTCCAGAATGTTCTCATTCGGTATTCAAAAACGATTAGGACACGATATCTCCGAAAGTCATTAGTAATTTACTGGTGCATATAAAGAAAAGCTAGATTTTTAAAGCTCTTTGTTTGATAGAGCGAGCCAATTAACTTTTTTCTACAAAATTAAGGGTTCACCAACATTTACAGTTACAACTTTTCCCACAATGATATGCATAAATAACTCAAAATTATTAGTCCTTACATCTTAAATTATAGTTTATTAAATTGAAAATCACTTAACTACGAATAATTGAATCTCAATCACAGCACGAGCATCTAACACACACACACACACACACTGCATATGAAATCACAGGAGAAACGCCCGAATTCGCCGAATTCACATCCCCGACAGACATCAATTTCATTCATCCGCCGATAGGAAGGAAGTGTATTGCTTCAGTGAGATTGAAACTTCGAATATAAAAAGTTGGTTGGATTACAGATGATTCGGTTGAATCCGTTCATGCTTTGAGGATGCCTCTATTTTTGGAGTGAGAGAAAAATGGTCTGCATAGATACAGGGGGTCACGAGTGAGTGTGTGTTTGTGTTTGTGTGTCGATGGTGTAATGGCACATTCGAGGCAATCAGTCCTCCGTGCTTGTCTGATGGAGCTAATTTCTCGAGCTCAACACTGCAAGCCAATCCTCATCCATTTTATTGTGAGGCCAATTCGTGAATCGCTTCCAACCGGCATTTCCTTCGAAAGTAACAATCGCGTCTCAATGAGCACAGAAGTGCCCGAAGATGGCTGTTGGTTGCAACGGTCGGAGGAAGCATGACAAACAACACCAACTGGAGATGAGCCCGACT